TTAGAGTAAAAGAATGTAGCTCATTTGTAGCTGGGCAGACAACTTTTCATCGTTAGGGTAAAAGCCTGGTGAGTTAAGGCTGTTTCTGATAGTTTCTTCTTTGTGCACAAAGAATTCCGTAAATTTATTTGCGAGATCAGCAGCATTGTCGTCCTGCGGTAATTTTTTAGGTGCCAGGCGGTTTAACATTTTGTCAACAGCAGTAAACAAGATCGCTTGATTTGACTTGTTTTCTTCTATGACCGAGGAGCAGAAGGTCATCTTGGACTCATAAATAAGGTTATTGACCAGGTTGCATTGGTTAACGTAACGTTTTCTGCTGATGGTGGATCTTATCTTGCGCCATTGGCGTTCAAGTCCTTTTCGGTTTTTAAGCCTTAATCTTCTCTGTGTACCATGGCGCAGCTGGTCTAAGAGTGACAATACGCATTTTAAGAGGTGCATGCTGATAAAGTATTGACAAGAGGTTCATCATACAGGGATGTGAGATCAGTACCGTTCTCAGTGTACTTAGCATCTGTGAGAGATGAATTGCTAATGTCCTCAACAAATCGCCCCATGTAGATGGATTTCAAGTTAAAACGAACCTGTGGTCAGGTCAAACTTACAATTGTTTCTTAAGCAGTCTAAACACGGTTATAGAAGAACAAAGTTGAAATAATTGGTATTCATGGTTTAAAAACGATTTAGACGATTAATTTCATAAACGCTGTCTAAATTTGTTACAAATGATAGTCTCTTGTACGTCACTCTTGCTTGATTTCTCTCCCTCACCGTAGAATTACCCGTTCTTTTATCCACACTAACTGCATAGCATAAGAATATGTACCTCTTATGTTTGTTAGTGGTTACTTTTGATGAAGATGAAGTATTGTATTTAAGTTAAATGCTGTCTTTATGAATCTCTATTATCTTTCAGGACCCTCTTTGATAATCCATTATCATACATACCAGATGGTGTTTTTAAGGAAATTAAATCCAGAACTACAGTGTAAGTGCTAATTAAGGGTATTTACTCGTTGGCAAGTGATTTGTTCGTGTCACAAGAACTTAAAATTCATAGCGGAGCGCGCGCGCACAGCGGAGTCTTATACTTATTGAGAATGGAAACCTATCGATGCCAGAGGATTTGGTTATGACGTTCGTTTGAGGTCGGAGGCCGGCAGTTTTGTCCGGTCGTTTGCCATTCTATGTCCGGTACTTTGTTATCAATTTTTTTTACTTGAGCAAACCATGAACTTGCTGACTAGAGAATAAAAGAATAAGCGATTAAATTTCTTTGCTGTTTTCCCTTTTCATTTAAACGAAATTGGAGTGAAAAAGATTACAACCTCAGTTATCTTGTATCTTTTTTGAAAATAAATAAAAAATAAATTCGCAAAGATAAACAACTGAAAATTATGTTGTTGCCATTCCCCTACCAACTGTCCAATTTCATTTGAGTAAGCTCCAGTGAACTCCAGCCTTGCCTGGGAAACTGATTCTTGGGTTCCAGAAACGCTGGAAACAGCTTTCCTGAGCTTTCTATTACAAACATTTGCTGGGGGAGCATACCCCCACACCCGATAGGTAGCTTCTGCTGTGCCAAAAAATTTCGCGTCTGGTGCTTTCAGAAATATGTCCAGTACTTTAAAAAACTGTCGAAAGTAGGTGACGTCAGCGTACGCCCGACCTCCCGTCCGAACGAAATATGGGAGTAGGGGTAAAAAACTCAGTATGCTAGGGAAGGGAGCCCCAGCCATGTACGTAGCGTTTCGTTTTGGCGAAAAATTGACCATTTTATGGGCAACCAACTGAGTCGGGCGATTAAAAATCTAGATTGAAGTTTCTTGTGTTCGACTTACGACAAACTTTCGAAAATAAATTTCTTAAGCTTTGCTTATTGCTTGGTCACGCTTTTGGTCACGATCCAGGAACTACCTAGTCTCCCCTCGACACGCTTAGTCAAAATTTTGACAGGTTAATTCATGAACGAAAACTTATTCAACATCTCATATATAGACTTAACCAGGTCTTAAAACGAAGCTCTCGTTAATATTTATACCAAACATAAAATCGTGTAATGCTAAGTGGCGACCGCAACGAAAATGGCCAAAAAAATCAGTAGATCTAATTAGCAAAAAACACCTTTGCACTTGCAGCACACTTTTTTCGTACATTTCGTTGCCGTTGTTTTACACGACTACAACGTGAAACTTCCAAAAACTTCCTAGTTACAAGTTTTATAGAGGAAATGTCGTACGTGTTCCTGTTCACTTTCGTTGTCTCTGCAGGTCATTTTCAGCTCGATGGCCAATAGTATTCTCAGTTTCTCACTACCGCTATAAAATTTTCATGTTTTTCTTCCAACGAAATTGGTCGCATTTGTTTTGGCCTTGATTGAATTTTTTTGTGCAACACATTACAAATTTTTTACTTTCTCCTTGAGTTGTATATGCCGTTGGTTTCTTTGAGCACGCACGTAAGGAAACTCGCCCATAGCTTTGGTGCATACGTCGGATGTTTCAAATAAGCGAAACAATATCTTTGCTTCTTCACAAACATCCATTCTTTTAAATACTGATTTCACCTAACTTACAGAGTCTTATCGCACTAGAAGAAATACAAAGAGATTGCTTTATTGGCGCCGTGGTTGTTTGTCTCCCGCGATCTTTACAATACGCTGCTACACGTCATCAGCCTTTTCCCTTTTTCATTAGAATCATTAACTTACAACGCTCGCGACTTGTAAAGCAGCGACATGGCTTTTTTTTGTTTCGAAACGGGCATCCATGTCGCAGACACAACAACAACCATAACACAGACACAACAACAACTTTCAAAGACCAATTTGAAATTAAATTATGTTATTTCTTACAGGTCGATTACTTGTGGAAACTTATATCAGCTTCCTGCCGGAAATAGTTATAGTTCAGTTATGTAAGTGGGTACACATCAATAAAATTCTGCTACAGTCAAATTCCGTTAATACCGATGCTATAGCGCCATAGAAAGTGTCGGCATTAACGGGTGTCCGTATCAAGAGGGTTGAGTTTAGAAAAAACAGGAGGGCTTTCCTGAGAGATAAACAAAACTGTGCGTAATAACAAGGTGTCTGCCGGATAAGCCGGTGTCGGTAAAGCGGTAGCCTGAGAAAACAGCCGACATTTGGCGACGCTACCACTGGTTTTCCCGCCAAGTGAAGTCTGAGAAACGAGCCCAGAAATTCTATACTGATGACGCGTCACTACCCACATCGGGTAGTGCTTCTGATTAGTCGTTCCTCCTGGGAAATTTAGTTCAACCAATCAGAAGCACTACCCAGTTCTGGGTAGTGACGCGTCATCAGTATGGAATTTCTGCGCTCGTTTCTCAGACGTCATTTGGCGGGAAAACCAGTGGTAGCATCGCCAAATGTCGGCTGTTTTCTCAGGCTAGTAGAGCGGATGTTACCAAAACGAGGAACGGGGAACGGGAATATAAAAATGGGAGCAAAACCTAGCTTGAACCCTAGTCCAAGATCCCATTTTTCATTTTCCTGTTATAACTGGACTAACTAATATTGCGATCTTTTGTGCATGCTTTAGTGAATGTGCTCCTTCGACTACTTTTCACCTCCTGCGTCTTAATGAGGAAGTCTTTACCGCTGGGAGCCTTAAGCGCTCAGGCTTTGTGTGCCACAAATGTAGACTGACAATGTTACGGAGATGTTACAACTGCAGTCTTTGCCCGGTTGGTTACCATGTCAGCGATATTTCCACAAACATATACGTGTATGGTTCTTGTCAAGCGTGTCCTGCAGGTAATTTCAAAGGTGTAATTTGAATACAGTTTTTATTTAAAAGTTTTGCCAGAATTCAAAAGATTAACACCATAACAACATTTGGCTTTTCTCGTGGAGAGAGAGCTTTAACGTAGTTGGTAGATTATGATCATAGTTCTTCGCTAGAGGGGTCTGGATAGAGTAATGATAAATACAATTAACTGCAACTGTTGTTTAGAGTTCGTAGGCAATTGCTACTACTATGGAAAGTTTTCGCTGTTTTCGCAATTAAGTCTGAGGCCAAAAAAATCAAATTTGTTTTATCCTTACTGGACAAATTCTATTCTATTATTCTTCTGAAAGACATAACCCTTTAATCACATAGTACTTAGTAAGTACCTTGCAAAGCATGTAAGGAATTCAGATGGACGGAAACAGAAAGCACAGCATAATCCGTTTCTGCATAAGACAATGACTGTAGTAACAAATTAGAGATGTGGCAACACGGGACACTTTTACAGTGGTAAATGACCCTTTTACCGCGGGAAATTGTGTTAGTGTGTCTGACCGGATTTCCCGAGGTAAACTTCCCGTGTTACATAAACATGGATACGGAAAAAAATAAACAGAGAAAGCGCCCATGACAACGTGGTAATTACATGTAGCAAGGGTGTTTTGATGCCCACGGTTAGACAGCCAATCACGAAGCTCCAGTTGACAAAGAATCTCGGTCATCATCAGATCATCAAGGGCCTACTGAGCGCCTATCTTTCCAACAACACCAGAAAAATAACACGTTATGATCTGTTGTGATGGCTGGATTTCGCACTATTCGATAAGTTACTATTTCAAAATTATCTTCAGAGAAGCATTTGAAATCGTTTGCTTACACACCAGATAATGTGAGCAAACGTTTGTATTTTTTTTTGCCGGGCAAATTCTAATTTGGATTCACTCGCTTGTTCGCTTGATTCACAAATTCAACCTGGATCATCCGGGTCATGATTTTTTTTTTGCAACCGAAAATCCCGCTCGCTCTGAAAGTCCTTCAAGTGTTTCCCGGGAAAATAATTTCGTGAAAAAGGAAATCAACCGTGGTAAATAAATTTACGTATAACCGTAAGTAACCTTGGTAAATCATGGGAAAGACTTTTTACTATGTGGTGTGTGTAACCGCACCTTATGTTTAAAAAATTTCAGAGTAAGAAAAAATAAAGGAGCGTCTGTGCTATTATATCAAAGTTTGTTATCACTTAAT